TTCATTTTTGTGGATTATTTTGGTTTTTCTGTTTTGGTCCTATGTAAACTGCCCAAAGTCACAATTATGAGTCGGGCAGCCAAAATAAAATAAACAAATATAAAATTCATATAAAATAAACAAATGCAAAAATAGAATCTCCTAGAGGTCTCTTGAGTAACTAGCATAGTTTACTGGTGCAAAAATGAAGCTTTCATCTCTAATTCTGTACACTCTAATTCAGATAACTGGTTTGATCTTCACATGTGTTTAATAATTTTCAAAGATATTAAGAATTGTTGTGTATGGTAATTTTGCAGGACAGTGGGTGAATAAGCTAGTTAGCAGACTAATTAGTTTAAGAAAAGGGATTTTTAAGTGATATACTTAGGGGAGTGGAGGAAATGGATAGAGTGGAATAAATGTTAAATGTTAAATGTTAAACTAGATTTTATGGGGAAGGCCGCTTTGAAATGTTATAGTAATATATATAGAAGATTATTATTTTTTAAAAAAAAATTTATTATTAAAATATAAACACAGATATAAAGACAATACAATACAAAGACAAACAAAAAACCCACCACCTACAAACCCACCTAACATTTTACATTTACGCTTTTGTCATCAACAGAATATATGTCATTGAGCTTATATAGTTTAATAAAGAGTAATTATTAAATGTCTAATTCCAATGTTATAACTTTTCACTACAAATTTACATTTCTTATGGGTTCATCTCCTTGTGAAAGTCTTTACCCTAATTTCTGTCCTCTACATTTTTGCTGATTTTCCTTTCCAGCCATTGATACCATTGGTGCCATACAAGATAGTATTCGCTTTCTTCCTTTTCCTGGAGTTCCAGCGTCAATCTGTCCATTTCAGCACACTCTGTTATCTTTGCAACGATTTTATCTTTGGATGGGAGTTGGTCTGATTTCCAGTTTTGCGCTAACAGTAGTCTTGCTGCTGTCAAGATATGTATGATGAGATATTTCGTTTCCTTAAGATGTTGTGCCATTATCATGCCAAATAGAAAAAATTCTGGACTGTTTTCTATTTGAATGTTCGTTATTTCTTCGATAATATTTTTTATATCTTGCCAATAGTGTTGGGCTTTCCTACATTTCCACCAAGTGTGATAATATGTCCCCTTTTTTGATTTACATTTCCAACACAACGCCGAAGTGTTTGGGTGTATTTTGGCAAGTCGGGCTGGTGGTAAGTGCCATCTATAAAACATCTTAATGAGGTTCTCCTTGTAGGATGTGGCTCTTGTCATTTTTATGTTCTGCTTCCATAATTTCTCCCAGTCTGCCAATTGAATATTATGTCCTATGTCCCTGGCCCACATTGTCATATTATGTTTAACTGTTTCTTCTATTAATTTGTCTCTCAAAAGGTAGTTATATGTTTTAGTAATCATTTTCTGGCCTGCTCCCAATAAAATTCTGTCCAGTTCGTTCAGATCTTTTGCAATTCCATATTTGATTTTATCCGCATTGTATCTTGAGTGTATTTGAGTGTAGTGCCACCAATCAATATTTATATCGCCATTTTGGAGTTGATGTCTTGGAGTGAGTTCTCCTTCATGATTCAGTAAATCTTGGTATCTCATCATCTTTCCGATTTCAAGGGTATTTGGAAATATCAATGCCTCCATCGGGGACCACCATTTTGGTATTTTAGTATAATAAGTTTTCTTAATTCCCTGCCAAATCTTGAAGAGTGAGGCCCGAATTATGTGTCTTTGGAAGTACATGTGTTGTTTGTCTGGTCCATCCCATAGGAACGCGTGCCATCCTCGTATGAGATCAAAGCCTTCTAGATATAACATTCTTTTGTCATCTAATCTCATCCATTCTTTGATCCAGGTCAATCCGGCTGCTTTATAATATAGCTCCCAGTCTGGTACTGCAAGGCCTCCTCTGTCTCGTGTGTCTTGTAGCACTTTAATCTTAATTCTGGCCTTCTTTCCCTGCCATATATAGGTCATTGTAATTTTGTTGAGATTTTTGAAGGAGTCCCTTCCTAGATGTAATGGTACTACCTGGTATAGATATAGTACCCTCGGTAATATATTCATTTTAATTGAACTGATTCTACCCATCAATGACAATTGTAGCCTGTTCCAGATTTCCAGGTCTTTTTTAATTTCTTTTAGTAATTTCGTGTAATTGTCTTCTTTGATTGTGGTTGCTTTCGCCGTCAACCAAATACCTAAATATTTTATCTTCTTTACTAATTGGATTCCTAATTCTTCTTCTAATTCCGATCTCTGAGTCTGGGTCATATTTTTTGTCATTAGTTTTGTTTTTTGTTTGTTTATTTTGAGGCCCGCGACTTCCCCGTATTGTTCTATCATCGACATCAGTCTGGGTCCAGATCGTCTTGGGTTTTCCAAGTTGAAAATTACGTCGTCTGCAAAGGCGAGCAATTTGTACTCCTCTCCCCGGATCTTGAGTCCTTTGATTTCTTCCTCGTTCCTTATTTCGTTTAATAATACCTCCAATGCTATTATAAATATTAGCGGTGACATGGGACATCCTTGTCGTAGTCCTTTCTGAATATCAAAAATTTGTGTCATGTCACCATTTATTGAGATTTTTGCTGTTTGTTGGGAATAAATTTTTTTAATCAGATTATGAAATTTCTCTCCACAGTTCATTAGTTCAAGTTGTTTTGTGAAAAAAGACCAATTCAAATTGTCGAAGGCCTTCTGGGCATCAAGGGAGATTATGGCCATTTCTCTGTCTATCTTCTGATCATAGTATTCCAGAATATTTATAATCATTCTCAAATTATTCTTTATTTGTCTTTTAGGTATGAAACCGTTTTGGTCTGGATGTATATAGTTGTGTATTATTGCTTTGAGTCTCTGAGCTAGTATTGACATGAATAGCTTATAGTCCACGTTGAGTAATGAAATTGGTCTGTAATTTTTAATTTGCGTCGGATCTGAGTCTTCTTTGTGTATTAATGTAATAATAGTTTCTGTCCAAGATTTTGGAATTTCTGCTATCAGTAGTGCTTCGTTAAAAACTTGTAACAGTATTTGGTCTATCGATTGTTGACAAAGTTTATAGAATTCAGTAGGAATTCCATCCAGTCCTGGAGTCTTATTGTTCTTTTGTTTTTTGCGGGCTTCCATTAGTTCCAGCATTGTTATGGGCCGGTTTAACATCTCTCTGTGATCTTCTGTGAAGTGCATAAGATTGGTTTTTTGGAGGTATCTTTTTATTTGGTCTTCCGGGACCTCTTTCTGGCAATAAAGTTTTTGAAAAAAAAATTTGGCTATGTTTTTCTTCTCCAGATGTGTGTGGTAAAGAGTTCCTGATTCGTCTTGGAGTTGGTGTATAATTTTTTTTTTCTGTTTGCTTTTTTAGCTTATATGCTAACCAGTGTCCAGTTTTGTTAGCATGTTCAAAATTATTTTGTTTTACCATTCCATTACCAATACCATACCATTGTTGTAATTTAAGTTCCTCTGTCTTAATTTCTTCCAATAATTCATTTCTGATTCTTTGTTTCTCCTTTTTCTTTCTTGCCATATATGCAATAGTTAGGCCTCTAATATAGGCTTTCGTGGTATCCCATAGGTTTTGTAATGATGTTGTGTCTTTTGTATTTATTTGTAGAAATATCTTGATTTCCTTTTCTATCATTTGCTGATATTCTTTTTCCTTTATTATACTTGTGTTCATTTTCCATCTCTTCTGTTTTCGGAAACCTTTCCAGACTATTTTGATAGGATTGTGATCGGCCCATATACTAGACATAATTTCTACTTCGTGTGTTTCTTTACTTAGTTGAGGTGTCATCCAAGCCATATCCAGCCTGGACCATGATTGATGTGGGCCCGAGAAATATGTATATTGTTTTGTTTTGGTATTTATTTCTCGCCAGGTGTCGTGTAGGCTCATTTCTTGTACTAAATCTTTGAATGTTTGTGGCAATGTCTTCCTTTTAATTTTATTCTTCCTAGTGCTGTGGTAATCTTCTCGCAAGTTTACTATCGCGTTAAAGTCGCCGACAATGCATACATTTTCGTAGTCCAACTCCTTTAGTTTGTCATGTAATTTTTTGTAAAAATCTAATTGGTTTCCATTTGGAGCGTAAATAGCTACTAACAATATTGTTTTTATTTCCAATTTTAGTTCTACCATTAAGACTCGGCCTTCTTTATCAGTGTAAATCAGTTTAGATCTTATATGATCTCTAATATATGTTACCACTCCCCTTTTTTTGCAATCTCCTAAAGATGTATATATTACTCCTAATTTTTTATTTTCAAGTAGTTTTTTCTGTTGTTTTCTTATGTGTACTTCTTGTAATGTAATTATGTCTGCCTCTAATTTTTGCAACCTTGTAAACATTTGATGTCTTTTGCTTGGTGAGTTTAAACCATTTATATTTATGGAAATGAGCTTTATTTCTTCTTCCATTTCCGCTAGTGTTTATTTGTCTGTTATTTTGAGCTTTGTTGTGTTTCTTGTAACTCTTTGTGAGATCCCCGCTGTTTCCTCCTTCTCCAACCTTCCCTTCTTTTGTTCTTTGTCTTCCTTGTTTGTCATTTGTGTCTCTTGGTCACTGGGGTTATGTTCTTCTCTACTATCTCTGCTTTCCTGTTCTCCTTCATTTCCTAGATATTGGTCCATAAAGTCTTGAGCTTTTTCTATTGTATCTATTCTGATTTTCCTTCCTTCCCATGAAATAAGTAGGCCTTCCGGTATGAGCCATCTAAATTTTATCTTGAGTTTATTCAATTGTCTACTTAAGAAATTGTAGTCTCTTCTCCTGTCTCTGGCTCTTCTCGGTACTTGTTTCAATGTTAGAACTTCCCTCCCTTTGTACATAACTGTCTCCTCTCTCATTCTTCTATATATTTCTTCTCTCATTGTTTTTTTTGTAAACCTAATATGGACTTCTTTGGGGAGTTTGTTTCTCCTTGCATAATTTGTAAAGGCTCTGTAAATTTCATCAATTCCATTTCTAATTTCGTCCTTATCTTTGTGTGTTGCCTTTGCCAGTATTTCGATCATAATCTCGCCCAGGTCTTCATCTCTCTGTTCTTCTATATTTTGGAATCTAAGGAAGAAGGATGCCTTTTCCATTTCAAGAAACGTGAGTGCATCTTCGGTGTCCCGGCTCCTCATCGTTTGTTGGTTCTCCATCCTCTCCAGCCTCAAGGCTGTAGCTTCTGTTTTTTCCTCCACTTTATGTATTCTCTGTTCATTTTCTATGATATTTTGCTGGATTTTCATTATCTTCTCATCTATATTTCTGATGTCATCTTTAATTTCTCCTACATCCAGTCGCAATTGTTCATGGTTTTTTCTAGTTTCATCGTGATTTAGCGTCATCTTATCTTCCATCCTTTTCATTCCCTCTTGTATCATTGCGAGGGCAGCCTGTATATTCTGCATGCCTATGATAGTATTGGTCTTTTCTTCTCCCGTCTTTTGCTGTACTGGGGAGGCTACTAGTAGTGTTTGAGTTTGGGTACCTTTTTGGTTGTTTTAATAGTAGTTGATATACTTGAAGTAGCCATGTCTATTGTATGTGTTAGTCTTGTCCACAATTTCATATAATTATGTATTGCCTATTTTATGTTAATGGCTTAAATGAAACGTTATTGTTGGGATTAATATTAGTGGAAATACTTCTAATCAGCAATCAGCAATATAATAATATATATAGAAAGAAGAGAAAAAAAATAATTTTCCCATTTTACTAGACATTTTGGAAGATATTTTTGGAGGGGTCTGGACAACAAGCAAGGAGGTTGCTTTGTCTTTGGACTTCAGATTGTTCACCCAACCAAGATAGCTGATGACAGCAACCTCAAAACTAACCCTAAATTACACTCTGCTTTTGCTTCTGAATTTCTTTGCAAATTAAAGAGGAAACATAAGAAGAAAACAATGTGCCTGGCATTCACTAGCCTTTATATATTCTTTATTTCTCATTTACATATGTAAAAATAATAGAATAGTAGAAGAACTTTTCCTCAGCTTGTTGATCTCATCTGGCTCTTCATTCAGAGAAAGCGGAGTGAAAAGTCCTACCTTTGGATGTTGGTTCCTACCAGAACCTCCTCTGCAACCAATTGCCCTGGTTGGTTTAGATGCCAATCGCTTTCTCGGCAGGTTTCCAAATTCCTCTACACAGGCCTCATACCATCCAGGGCATTGCTGATTACTCTGCCTTGTATAAGAAGCTCTTACATCCCTAGTGCCAAAGGTGCTTTTTCAAAAGGCAACTGGATTTTGTTTTTCCTTGAAAATGTGTCGCTTCTGATCCAAGAAGCTTCTTCATTTCTGACTTCAACGAAAAACAAAGTCCAGTTACCTTTCGAAAAAGCACCTTTGGGACAACCATGATATGAATGACTGAAAATCTTCACAGACACTTACATCCATAGATTAAAAAAAAAAAAAGAGCCAGGTTTTATAACTGTGGGTAGAAATGTCCAACTCATGGCCATTTAAAATCTCTCAGCCCTTCACAAATTATCAATTTTCAGCAGTGTGAGTTTTTTTCATGTTTTAAGAATTAATCTCTAAAAAAGCCCTAACCCTCCTAAAACCTTAATCAGCACTGAGTATTCTGGCCCCCGGACCCTTTCACTGATATCACAGTATCACTGCTACACATCACAGGCTGAAAAAGAAGTATTGTGGGGAACGTGTCATGCCATTTTCCCTCAATATCTGCAATATATTATTATTATTATTATTATTATTATTATTATTATTATTATTATTACAAATTACTTGAGCAACTGTAAGAAAATGTTCATTGGACCATAATATCTGTAAAAATCATAAGATCTTCCTCCTAGATTTCTGCTGTTACAGTAACTGGAGTCAGTCACTATGAATCAGGCAGGTGGCATATGACAACAAGAAGCATTCTCGCTATCAACTTCACCTGTCGAAATAGAAAAAGTGAATTTTTATGTTTTCAATCACCCTCCTGCAGCCATCACTGACGCTAAAAGAATGTGGATGCTTTTTACCAACTACAGTTTAAAAAAAAATTGGCCTTTTTGTTTTTAGTTCTTAAGCAGCTCAATCGATATACCCTGTTTTCCCCAAAATAAGATATCCCCTGATAATAAGCCCAATCAGGCTTTTGAGTGCATGCAATAAGGACAAGCACTTATTTCAGGGTTCAGAAAAATATAAGACAGGGTCTTATTTTTGGGAAAACATGGTAACAGATTAATAAATATCTTGAATAATTCTGAACAAATAATATATCAATGGATATTTCATTTTGTTTCATGTCAGTTCTTTTGCAATTATACACAAATCTCAGCATGCTACAGCGTATCCAGTACTGAGCAAAGGATTTTTGGATGCTATAGGAAAATAGCTTCCAACCAGCTGTTTCCATAAAAAAAAAAAACCCACTTACTAAAGCTTATTTTAATCAAGGGTGGCAGATATAACTGAAGTGTTTGCTACCTCATGCTTCAATTACTTAAAATATCAGGCCACTTACAATTTCAAGAGACAGAAAAGAAAATATAATAATAAAGTCCTGTCATAGCTTTTCACAGTTCAGACACATTAAATTGTTAGCAATATACCAAGTTTAAAAACGAAGGGTATTTTTTTCATAAGGAAGCAGATAGAATAACTTTTAAAAGTTCTTGAATTTCTGCTTCACAGATCCATTAAGTACACAATGTTGTAAAGAATAAATTTGGGGTCGGCAACATGGCTTTAAGAGTGCCAGAATATTCATGAACCTCCAGATGGATTTTCCAAGCTTTCTAAATTATTATTTTTTAATTAAATGGATTTTAAAAAAAATATGCCAAATGTTATATAATTTCAGTTTTCTTGAAGTTAATGCTCTTGAATTCAATTGCTCTTATGCTGAACAAGCATTTACTAATGAGACCCACTAACATTTAATTGGTGTGGAGAGATCTGGTTCATAATCTTTCCAAAGGTGCTTTTTCAAAAGGCAACTGGACTTTGTTTTTCCTTGAAGATGTTTCACTTCTCATCCAAGAAGTTTCTTCAATTCTGACTAAAGGGTGGAGGATGGAAGGTTTTATTAAACCTTACAGCACAGTCCTTCAGCAGTTCCAAGAAAGTTCCATACCCATTTACACTATTCAGGTAGCCCTGAAGGTACAAGTGGCCTCAATGACTCTCAGAAAGAGTACTAATGACCAGATGACTGCAAGGAATATAAATCCTTCCATCCTCCACCATTCAGTCAGAAGTGAAGAAGCTTCTTGGATGAGAAGTGAAACGTCTTCAGGAAAAAACAAAGTCTAGTTGCCTTTTGAAAAAGCACCTTTGTGACAACATGACCTGAATGACTGAGCATCTCCATAGACATCTGGTTCATAGGCTTGATTTAAGACTCTATTTAGAATAATATAAATTTCAAAATTAAGATGTTGAAAGTAGCCTGTGGTCTACTTTGTTTACATTTTTTTTTTTTTGCTTCCACTGTGTATCAAGAGTTTAATAAAGACTATTATACTTTTAAGACTTCCAAGGTAGATTTTTAAAGTCTGTGGTTAACCTAAACTCAGCTGAGCCCATAGCTTTGTCTGAGAGAGGTAAAACTGAGCCAAGATACCTCCAACATATACATGCACATGAATACTTACCTAGGCCTGACTGTTATCTCATAAAAACTGAGGAGACATCACTGAATTTCTGGAGAATTAATGATTGGAATTTTCAAGATCTGATCTGATTTTTCATTCTAAGATGAGATATCTGAGAGAGTTACTTCATTGATCAGATTGAGTTTTTGTTTTTGTTTTTCATTTCTTTATAGAAAAAGGGGTTTCTGGGCAACTTCTAGGGAAGAATTAGGCTGCCCTTAGCAGTCCAGTGTCTCCTCTAACTATAACTGATTCATCTGGTACAATCATCATAGGAAAAGTTGCCACATTTTCATGAAATAAAATAAGTGGAAACCAGGAATCAATTCTTTTCAACTGTGGCGCTGCTATTATGAAGGAAACCCCCTTAGTTATCAGGCTTGCTCCAAAAGTGGTAACTTCCTGGAAAGTGATAAAAGCTGAGCTGTTCTGGAGTAATTTAAGAGCAAAATCTAATCCTCTAGATAGCTGTTAAAGGTGCTGTACTGTATTACTGTCAGATAGTTTAATATTTTTAATTAGTGGTTGCATCAGAACATTATTATGGATTATAATTGTTAAAGTTACTTGTTTTTAATGTATGTCATTTACTGTTGATGTTTTATTTACAACTACCTTATTGTGTTCATTTTATTGTTTTAAATTGTGTTGTGGACGTTGGTTATGTTGTACGATAGATGAATTGTTATTCTGCAAGTCATTATGAGTCTACATTTCCTAGAATACAAATCCAATAAATAAATAAATGTTTTAATTAGGACCAGAATTTCCCATGAGTATAATGATATGACATGATACATTATTTCCAGATGCATTTTGGAGAGAAAATATCGCTATCTCACTAAGCCAACACTTTTGATCAACATTCATCTGGAAGCATATAATTCTTTCTTCTCTAAATGAACAGAACATACGTCAATGTACTTGTTGAATTAAAGCAGGCTTCAGTCTGGTCAATGTCTCAGCAAAAGATTAAGAGAAGATCCCACCTCAACCCTGTTTCTGGTTTTAAGTTTTTAAGTTTTTCCATCAATATTCTCCTGCATTTTCTTTTTTTTTTCCTTTTTTTGTATTTTTTATTATTTTTATCTGTTTAACTATAATGTTTAATAAGATTATTATTTTAAAAGGAGGATTGTAGAGTTCTTTTACTATATTGGAGCAGTTGAAAGTACTTATTTTGTGGGCACCAACTAATTCTTGGTGCATACGCACAAAAATGCACACATATCTATTTTATATTATGTACATACACATATGCTTTATTAGTATTAATTAGCTTTGAGTAGCAATTTTTAAGCAATGCTACCCCCAAAAAAATAAACTAGGTAGGAACAGGGCAAAATTGTATGGTTGGAAAGGTGTTGATGAATCAATTACAGAATATTCTAGAGCAGGGGTGGGCAACTGTGGCCCTTTTACAACCTGTGGACTTCAACTCCCAGAATTCCTGAGCCAGCTTGGCTGTGGATAACCTGTGGACTTCAACTCCCAGAATTCCTGAGCCAGCTTGGCTGTCTCAGGAATTCTGGGAGTTGAAGTCCACAGGTTGTAAAAGGGCCCACCCCTGTTCTAGAGCATATGAATTACTGATTCTTTTATAGTCAAGATTAAGCCCTAGGCATGAGAGCAAAATAATACTGATCACTCTGATAGATGACCATTGGGATCTGGATTGAGGGAAATCTCCTTTTGGTCCACTTAGATTTCACAGCAGCTACTATGAGGGTGAGGAGCCACTTCAAGGTGTTTCCATTC